TGGGCCCCCCCCCCCTTATTTTATTTTATTTTATTTTATTATTTTATTTTATTTTATTTTATTTTATTTTATTTATTTTATTATTTTATTTTATTTTATTATTTTATTTTATTTTATTATTTTATTTTAAATGGGCTCATTGATATCTTAAATAAAAACTGACTCCAGCCTTAGCCAGTTTGACTACTCAGTGGAATAGAGCATAGGCCTGCAGACTGAAGGGTCCTGGTTCGATTCCGGTCAGGGGCACATGCCTGGGGTTGCAGCATCAATCCCCAGTAGGGGGCGTGCAGAAGGTTGCTGATCAGTGATTTGCTCTTATTATTAATGTTTCTATTTCTCCCTTCCTCTCTGAAATCAATAAAAATGTATTTTTTTTAAAAAAACTGACTAGATTGCTAAAGAAAAAGGGGAGAGTGGAAGATGGGTTGGTAACTAACCGTATCTACAGATAGATGGTGTTATATTCTTTACTTTAGAAATGAAGTAATCAGATCTTAGTGAGTTGAGAAATTTAACCAAGGAAACCTTGCAGTCTTAAACCTTCTAATTTAAATTTTCCGTCAAACCAGAAAAAGGCCACAATGTTTTGATAATAGCAATTTAGCCTGAGACCCACCTGTTTGAGCCATGAAATCTTATAGGATCAATGGTGGCTCATTAGCAGTCTTTTCGATATTTATTTTAGATTCTCAGAAGTATAAAAAGCCAGCTCAGTCGAATTCACCAATATGATTGTTGTTCCCTCAAACTTGACTAGCCTTCAACTACTTCTTAACCAAGCTAACCCCTTGAAACCCCGCTCAGGGGTCACCTTCAGGAAGTCTCCTTGACTTGCCTACTCAGGGTACCCAGTATGTACCCTGTGCTTTCCTGATCACACTCCACAGAGCATAGCCTGCTCTAGTCAGAGTTTGTTCATCTCCTAGATTAAAGACTTGTTCTCGAGGTTGGGAATCTTGTCCCAGCTGACCTTGTTTTCCCAGGGTCTAGTCTAGTGCCTGGCACCCAACAGGTCCTCAGTCAGTGCTTAGAAAATGAATGAGGGAGCCCTGGCCAGTGAGCCTCAGCTGGTTGAGCATCATCCTATGCACGGAGAGGTCACCGGTTGATTCCCATTCTGGGCACATGCCCAGGTTGTGGGCTTGATCCCCTGTTGGGGACGTGCAGGAGGGAGCCTATAGATGTGTCTATTATTGATATTTCTCTCTCTCTCCCCCTCTCCCTTCCTCTCTCTAAAAAATCAATAAAAACATATTTTAAAAAATGAATGAGGGAGTCATCGCAGTGTGTTCCACACTCTGCTTCAGTTGTTTACTATTGCCAACGTTATTGATTGATTTGTAAACTTTTTCTTTCAACACCTATCAAGGTTCTGGTGACAACTTGGAAGAAATCACACTGAATTTTGAGCTGATTTGTGTTGATGTCTTTTTTGTTTTCCCACAGGAGGGAAAAAGAGGAGGAAGAGAGACATAAGTTGTATGACTCTTCCTTGCCACTTTCAAGTCATGATGAAAGCTCCTATGATGATTCTGATTTCAGGTAGGTAGAACGACAACAGGAGGAGAAAACGAAAACTGTGGCCAAAGACTGAAAAATAACAATAATGATTCCCAGGAGAGAGAAGAGAGTTCATTATAATCTTTTGTAGGCTGAGTGAAAAACAGGAGTGAGGAGTTTTTTACTTGGGTGACTACATTTATTAATGCATTTAGTCTTTTACCCATGATTTTATATTATAACTAATAATTATAACTAATAATATTAAATTATAATAGAACTAGTGGCCCACTGCATGAAATTCGTGCACATTAAAAGGGAATTAATTAGAGAGTCAAGTCCTGTCACACCTGTGCAGGCCTCAAAATCACTTGAAGACCCAGACCCAGCTGGCCCCACCCCCATGGGGCAAGACCCAGACCTGGCCGGCCACACACCTGTCAAGCCCGACCCCCCGCAGCGTCACATCAGCGCTGGACGGGGACACACGCAGACAGCATCACATCCCAGGCCGGGACACATGCAGACAGTTTCACGTCAGTGCTGGGTGGGGACACAGGCAGGCAGGGTCACGTCCCAGGTCAGGGACACAGGCAGACAGCGTCACATCCCTGGCCAAGGATGCAGGCAAGCAGCTTCGCCTCAGCGCTGGGCATAACATTAGCGCTGGGCAGGCCTGGGCGTGCCTCCACTGGGCGTGGAAGTCCCCATCCCGCCCCCTAGCTCCTGTGCGTGCGCAACCCATTGACTGGTTGAGACTCAGACACCGTTAGGACCAATTAGCATATTACCTCTTTATTATATAGGATAATGACTACCATTTGTTAACTGGTTACTCTGTGCCAAGCATTAACCTAAACAGATTAGGAACATGGCCTCATGTTAACCTTTATAACAGCCAGGTATAGTGGAGATCACCCACTGTGTTTCTACAGCAGCGGGCCCAGGTTTGTAGAGGCTTCACAACGTCCCTACAGGAAACACTGGGTAAATAACAGTAGCTCAGACACAGTCCCTATTTTCAGGGGCTCACATCTGTTAGAAAGAAGGTGGATGTATCAGCAAGTAAGTTCCAGAGGTGCTGTTCCACAGGGGGGACAAAGACGCAGCAGCCTGGAGCCACGCAGAAACACTGTAAAGAAGTGTGCTTGACCTGAGTAGGCACCTGCCAGGGAGAAGGCAGGGGATGAGAAAGGGCTGGTGGCTCAGTGGGTGGAGCAGTGGAGGCAAAGGCTCCGAGGCAGGAGGGCACGGAGGTCTGTGAGCGGCTTCAGGAGAGGTGAACCTGGAGATGATCCCTGGACAAATCATGAAGGGATTTCCATGAAGCACTTGATTTCCTAAGTCGTGGAGAGTCACAGAAAGTTATCAAACAGGGAAACCGCATGGCCATAGTTGGACTTTAAAAGTCTTGATGTGCCCTCGCTGGTTTGGCTCAGTGGATAGAGCATTGGCCCTCAGACTGAAGGGTCTTGGGTTCAATTCTGGTCAAGAGCACATACCCTGGCCCTGTTGGGGCGTATTCGGGAGGCAACCACATGTGTCTCTCTCACATTGATGTTTCTCTCTCTGTTTCTCCCCTTCCCTTCCACTCTCCCAAAGAATCAATGAAAAATTATCCTCAGGTGAGGATTAACAAAGAAAATAATAATAAAAGTCCTGATGGCAGATGGTGGTCTTCTCAAAGGGAGGATATATGTATTTTGGGGGATTTGCAAAGTCTCCCATAAAGATTTACCTCTGTGTGGAACCCTAGCTATACCTCTTGACCAGTAGTCCCCAAGCTTTCTTGATGTTGTCTCTCTCTCTCAGTAAAATATTTATGAGAATTCAGCCCCTAATAATACATTAATTATTTAGAAACCATCCTATCTAATAGAGGAAATATGCTAATTGACCCTCATGCTGTCGCAAAGATGGCAGCGCCCACAGCCAATAAGAAGGGAATATGCTAATTGACTGTCCCACCCTCAAAGATGGTGGCGCCCACAGCCACAAGATAGCGGCACCCAGTCCCCTCAGTGCCGCCAGGGTGGCAGGCACATGGCAAGGCCAGGCCTGCCCCCAGGTGGGCCCAGCCACTCCACACGCCTGCCTCTGGAGTCCCCCAGTCCCCTCAGCCCCCCAGCCACCCAGGGCTGCCCGAGGCTCAGGTAACCAGGGCCGCCCGAGGCTTGCGCTGCTGGCAGTGGCAGCAGCAGAGGTGTGATGGGGGCGTTGCCTTTCCCTGATCGCCGGGTCACCTCCCACCCCTGAGGGCTCCCAGACTGTGAGAAGGGGCAGGCCACGCTGAGGGACCCCCCTTCCAGTGCATGAATTTTCATGCACTGGGCCTCTAGTATATATATATATATACAGGTGTCCCCTCAAAATGTATACATACTCTGAATGATTATAAAGTCAGTGTTTATTAATATACAGTTCATTTTCAAAATTTAAAAGAATCTATAGAAATAATTTTTTTTGTCATCACGTGTTTTCAAACTGATGACCTTTCTGGTCTAGGCACTGCTTATAAATAACATGAAGCAATGGAATCATAAGAATCAATTTTTTCAATATTTGCACACCCTCAATTCTTCAACTTGTTGCCTGTTTTGTACCATAAACTTTATCTTTTATGTATCTCTATAAAAAAGTCTAGTAGATAAATTTTCTTTGTTCAAAGCTTAGTCTGGCTTCACCCATTATTTCAAATCAGTTTAACCGGAAAAGGAGTGAAAATTAAGTGAGTTATCAGTTGTTAAAGTGTGTACACGCTTTTGGGGACACCCTATTCATATATATATTGTATGTTATATATTAGATATAAATATATATTTCCATACTAATATAGTATATATACTATAAAACATAGAGAAAATAGAAATTAAAAATGATGCGATAATAATACATAACTAGAATTTCCAATATCTTCTCCTTTATAATGGCTCTGCTGTGGACCTATCTGTGGTAGAGATAACCACTTGGGACCAGCCCCCACAGGTAAATATCAATAAGGTAAAGGTTTCCCCCACAGGAAAAGATGAAGCAGTAGAAGGAGCTTTAACTCTAAAAAGATCTGGGGTTTTGAATCTTTGCTGCGCCCCCTCTGTGACTTTAGGTCAAGTTACAAAGTTCTCTTGGCCTGTTTCCTTGGCCTTAAAGAGTGTGGCTGGTTGTTATGTATAAAAGAGCTAACCCATATGAAGAGCCTGGCATAGAAACTGCCAATACGAATAGTCATTATATTATTTTTCCCTAAAACTGCTACTTTCCTTACTGCAAAGCCATGGGGCCTTCTGCTGGAGAGCCTGGGCCAGCTCACCCCTGGGGCAGACCATTCCCTGCTCACTCACCGCTGGGAACTGAAATGGCGAAACTCCAGAAAACGCACAAGTTTTACCTGCAGGGAAGCGCCCCCACGCTCCAAAAGTCACGTTCAGACAGGGTACAGCCAGGTCCAAAAACATCCTCCTAGACCAGTGATGGCGAACCTTTTGACCTCGGCGTGTCAGCATTTTGAAAACCCTAACTTAACTCTGGTGCCGTGTCACATATAGAAATTTTTTGATATTTGCAACCATAGTAAAACAAAGACTGATATTTTTTTAATATATTTTATTGATGTTTTACAGAGAGGAAGGGAGAGGAATAGAGAGTTAGAAACATAGATGAGAGAGAAACATCGATCAGCTGCCTCCTGCACACCCCCTACTGGGATGTGACCACAACCGAGGTACATGCCCTTGACCGGAATCGAACCTGGGACCCTTGAGTCCACAGGCTGATGCTCTATCCACTGAGCCAAACCGGTTAGGGCAAGACTTATATTTTTGATATTTATTTTATATATTTAAATGCCATTTAACAAAGAAAAATCAACCAAAAAAATGAGTTCGCGTATCACCTCTGACACGCGTGTTATAGGTTCACCATCACTGTCCTAGACACCGCTACCGGAAGTCACTGAGGATCAGTGGCCCCAGCCCTCTAGGGGCCTGAAGAAGAGCAGACTAGCTCCTCCTGTTGCAAATACCGAGAGAAATTGGGGAGAAGTAGTCTCCCCTGTGCTGAGCACATTCCATCAGTGTCCCATTAACGTCTCAGAAAAGTCCCCGGAGGTAGATGTATAGTTTAAGTTTAAAAAATTTGGCTCTCAAAAGAAATTTCAATCGTTGTACTGTTGATATTTGGCTCTGTAGACTAATGAGTTTGCCGACCACTAGCATAACATGTGAATTTTTAGTATATCTGCAAAGTTTGGAATCTTAAATTAAAATATCACCTAATGTGTTAAGAACGCACAGCGAGCCCTGGCCGTCTGGCTCAGTGATTAGAGTGGCAGCCCTTGGACTGAAGGGTCGGGTTTAAGTCCAGTCAAGGGCAGGTACCTCGGTTACAGGCTCGATCCCCATCACATGCCGGAGGCAACCAGTTGATGTGTCTCTCTCACATCCATGTTTCTCTCGCTCTGACTCTCCCCCTCCCTTCTACTCTCTCTGAAAATCAATGCAAAAAATGTTCTTAGGTGAGAATGAACAACAACAACAAAATCACAACTAATGTTTTACTCAATTATAACTTTTTCTTATTCATTAGTTGTTATCACCTTGAGCAGTGGCACACAACAGAGTTTCCATAGCGAAAACTCACTCAGTGCCTGGCCAGGCCCTTATTCTGCCCTGAGCATGATCCGTGTATTATTCAATTCTCACAGCTTTCCTGCGAGATACGGGATGTCATTATTCTCATTTTACAACTGAGGCTTGGAGAGGCTTAGTGACTTCCTCAGGCTCCCTCCCTCTCTTCCTTTCTTCTTTTCTTATTAGTCCTCACCTGAGGATGTTTATTGATTTTAGAGAGAGGGGAAGGGGGAGAGAGAGAAACATCAATCAGTTGCCAGGGATCAAAGACTCTTCAACCAACTGAGCCACCCTGCCAGGGCTGGCCTATTCTTAAGAGAAGGCTTAAGAGAAAAACTTAATATGAAGAAAGTTTTATGAGTTGTTTTGTTTTGTTTTGTTTTTTAAAGAAACAACCACCGATACTGACTTATAGCTGGATGGTTTGGACTATGAAATCTTCCAGGTTAGTAGGAGCTTATAAATACTATTATTTTTAACATCCATTTTACAATGGAAGAGGAGACCAACCAGTTCAGTTCATTTTAACAAGTATTCATTGCTCTTTCCTCTTCCTTGAACATGGTATAGACCAGTGATGGCGAACCTTTTGAACTTGGCGTGTCAGCATTTTGAAAAACCCTAACTTAACTCTGGTGCCGTGTCACATATAGAAATTTTTTGATATTTGCAAACATAGTAAAAAAAAGATTTAGATTTAGATATATTTTTTTTAAAATTTTTTTATGTGCCTCAGGCATGAAACAGCTCTGGCCACCGACACAGGCATCAAGCTAGGATGAACTAAGGACTGTACATCTGCTTTGCCCCTGACTGATATAAGAGCAACACCACCAATCAGGTGTCTCCTTGCCCATTGCCAGGGGGTTGATTTATATATTTGATATTTATTTCATATATTTAAATGCCATTTAACAAAAATCAACCAAAAAAATGAGTTCGCGTGTCACCTCTGACACGCGTGTCATAGGTTCGCCATCACTGCTATAGACACTGTTTTTAACTGGCTAATTCTTACCTGACCCTTAAAGCCCAGCTCAGGCATCACTACCTGTTTTGTAGTCTGTGTCTGTCTTCCTCTCTGTACTGTAAGTCTCCCAAGTTCAGACACTTTGTCTCATTCAGCATTGAATAACCTGCGCCTGCTCACGTGGGAGCACATAGTAGGGATTCAGCACATTTGTAAAATGGTGATGATAACGGTATGTACAGCATAAAGTTGTTAGGAGGATTAAATTGGTTAAAATTTTTAAAACAGAATAGTGCCTGATGCAGAGTAAACATAAGTGCTAATTAATAGTTCTACAAAGCTTGTTCCAAAAAATTGCACTCCCTGGACACCCCCCCCATTCCCCACAAACAATACTTTCCACTTTCTTAACAGATTATTTTAGTATTTGATTTCCTTTTTACGTCTGAATTCCATGCTGCTCTGCTCCTTGATTTTTCGGTGTTAGGCTTTATCGAGTTCTCCCTAGGAAAGGTGAGGACAGGGCTCTCTCTCATACGCACACACTTCCCATCTGCCACCCTCCCAATGTGTTTCTGTTGTGGGCTCATTAATCAGCTTATTATACCATCAATACCATTGCCATGAGCCACTGAGTGTACTATGGTTATTTTTCTTTTCTTGCAAAACTATTTGCTATCCCTGGAACCAAGTCTCTCTCTTTTTTAATCTGCCTGTTTTCTCCCCTCCCCCCCCCTTTTTTTTTCTTATGTACTTATCATAATTTATCTCCAAATTCCACTTGGTTGCATAAATCTCCTCCCAGTACATTCAGACACTTTACAATTCAAGCACGTCAAACTTAAACAAAGCATTCGGCCCGCCGGCCGCGAGTTTGACATGCTTGCATCGTCAATCACCTCACCTTCTGACCTGCTTCCCTCTGGGCGGTTGGTTTCTAGCTGTTTATGTCATCCTGGGGATTCCCTTCTTCATTCTCTAGATCACACTGGCTTTTAATCTGTTTCCATTTGTGTCTTTATGGTTCATCCACAGAGAGATGAGCAAGTCAAAAGCAATGCAGAAAAAGACAGCCCCTCACCTTCTGGCCAATCTGGAGGAATCCTTGTCCAAGAACTGGGAGAACTTTCGGGATGAAGCCTGCACATGGGCTTAATCTAAAACAGAAACAAGACAAAGAAAAAATAATACTTCAGCACATCTAGTCATTCCCAGTCCGTGGGAAAAAGAATATTAAAGTTCACTCCTACCCTGGGCCAAAGTCAAGATGTAAAGTGAAGTTAATTCACCTTCATTCATTCATTCATTCATTCATGCATTTACTTACTAATTTTTTCATTCACTTGTTTATTAATGACACCATGGAATATATAATATTATTATGTAACATAGTAATCATAGGAGACATCATTTTATTGAGCACCTACTATGTGTTGAGTGCTCTGTTAAAGTGTTTTTAAACATTATTTCTGTTACTCCTCCTGTGCCCCCCCCCCCCCCCGTTACTCCTCCTGTGCCCCCACCCCCCGCCCCCGAGATGGTACTGTTACCTCCATTTCTCCTAGGAGGACACTGGGGCTTGGAGAGGTTGAGCAAACATTCAGTAGGTGTCTATTCAGTGCCATGCCTGCATTTGTCCCTGTGGAAACAGAGATGAATAAAGACCCAGTCTCAGCCCTAGCTGGTTTGGCTCAGTGGATAGAGCATCAGCCTGCAGCCTGAAGGGTCCCGGGTTCAATTCTGGTCTTATCTTGCCCTGCATGTGATTATCTGTTTCTGTATCTATCTTCCCTATGAGATTCGTGGCTTCTTAAGAACAGATCTGTCTCCATCTCCATTTCCAGCAGAGAGCTGGGCCACGTGTTTAATAAACGGTGCTTACATAAACTGTCATGCGCATGCCTGTTTAGGTAGCTATGTGCCAACTTTGGGAGTTTTTCAAACTTGGAAATAAACCTAAATAAATGAGAAAGCCCCAAATGACTGATATATATGTGTGTATACTGTATTTGCCTGTATACTCCTCTGTGGCCCCAATTAGGGTTTGTATCTTGTGTGTTGAATTCCTAGCACCCAATACCTAGTACAGCATCTGACAATCTTTTGAATGAATTAAATATGTTTAAGGGGAGATGTACCCAGTGAAATTCTTTTTTTCAGGATGACCCTTCATTCTTTAGTTCTCTACTAGAGGATTTCTCAAATTTGAGCTCTTTAAACTCTAAGATTATATATCTATAGGCATCAGTTTGAGGAATCACATGCATCTATTGATTATAAGGTGGTTGTCCACAGAGGGGCAATAAGGTGTCATGGTTTAAAATTCAGATCTTAGAAAAAATAAATAAATAAAATAAAATAAAATTCAGATCTTAACTGTAATCCCACTGCCTGCTGTTGTTTTTCTTAGAATATCATAAAAACGACACAAAATGTTTTAATTTTATGGAGAATTTGTTGCCTCGCTGAAGGATTTGAGAAACTGTAAAAACTAAATGATACAATTACTAATTGACAAAAAAGTTCTGGATTGCCCTGCCTCTATATCTAGCACTTTCATTATTTTACTGTTCAGATTTAATTTCTTGCTCCATCTGGAATTTATTCTGGTACAAGGTGTGAAGTATGGTTCCAAATTTATTTTTCTTCCAGATGACTACCTAGTTGTTAAAACAACATTCATTGGACTCATCACTTCCCCACTGATTTGAAATGTCACCACCATATTCAGAATTTTTATCTGATATGGAAGACATCTTTTTTCTGATTTGAATGGCATCAGAATGAATTTTAATTACCACAGGGTTTTGCCCTACCTGGTTTGGCTCAGTAGATAGAGTGTTGGCCTGTGAACTGAAGGGTCCTGGGTTCGATTCCAGTCAAGGGCACATGCCCAGGATTGCGGGCTCAACCCCCAGTAGAGTGTGTGCAGGAGGCAGCCATCATGATTCACTCTCATCATTATTGTTTCTATCACTCTTTCTCCTCTCCCTTCCTCTCTGAAATCAATAAAAATATTTTTAAAAAATAAATAACACGTTTATTTATTTAAACATTTAAAAGTTTTATATAACCATCAATATCATATTCAAACAAGATTTTTATCCTCACTTCACAAATTTATTACAGGCTCCTTTCAGTTTCTTTAAGTGTACTGCACACAACCTTCAAATATTATGAGCATTTCTCTCTCCCAGCTGTCACTACACCAAACTACATATGTTCTACTTCCCTAAATCCTCTTGCTGCGCTCTTTGCAGCTCTTCTGTACAGTTGATGTCTCCATGTAACAAGTTGCTCAGAAATCGCTATAATTATTTTAGGTGAGTCCTCAAAGTGAACGCCTATTGTCACTATCCAGTTCATCCCAACAATGAGCATGAATTTCCATTCGGCATGAAGGACAGGCGATGTTTCTGGAAAACAACAGGTTTTGGAGAGCCATTTGTTAGCTCTTTAGACAATCGGCCTGGGGGAGGGGAGCCATGCCCTACAAAATGACAACTGCTGCTGTGGGGATTTGTTTGCTATTGGTTCCAGCAAAATGGTCCAGACACTGAAGAAAAAGGGTCGCCCTGTACTGGGTCTTGAACCCAAAAACTGTTTGCACAGATATTCAGCCAAGACACATCACAGCCTCCACCTCAACAGATGCTCTTTCAAATGTTTCACGACTCTCCTCAATAGTCAGCATTTAAGAGACAGCTCTGCTGACATGAAAGCTGGCTTAACATTTCTATTTAAAAGCTGGACCAGACTGTGTTTGGCTTCTGTTGTGTATTTAATATTTCAAGTTAACGTTGTGGCAGGTCTTCGCGTCGCCAGCATATCATCCAGTACCGGCGGCAGTCCAAAGTGCTGAGCAGCCTCCAAGACTCCATGTCGGTGCCATGCTTTTGAGAAAGAACGGATAGAATGTGCACATGCAATCCGTGGCATCCGCACAGACAGAGTGCGAGAGAGAATATGATGACTTCCTAGAAGGCCTGCCTTGCAGAAAACGAGGATGACCCGGTGACCCGTCTGAGTGCCATCCTGTGGCAGCAGGACAAGCTAATAACGGAGGGGACTACAGCCTCCACCCCACCTCCAGGAGAGGGCATCCGAGAGCAGCTACCCGGGGTTGGAGGCTGATTTTCATGTTCCTTGTTCTCCCTGGAAAGTGTATGTACTGACAACTGACACTCTAAGTGTCTAAAAAGAAAAGATTGTGCCCTGGCCGGTTTGGCTCAGTGGATAGCGCGTCGACCTGCGGACTGAAGGGTCCCAGGTTCATTCCGGTCAAGGGCACATGCCCAGTTGCGGGCTTGATCCCCAGTGGGGAGCGTGCAGGAGGCAGCCAATCAATGATTGTCTCTCATCATTGTTTCTCTCTCTCCCTCACCCTTCCTCCCTAAAATCAATAAAAATATATTTTAAAAAAAGAAAAGATTGCTCTAGCCTTTAATTAATTAATTTTCAAGTTAAGGCGAAGAAAACTTACTCTACATCCTGAATGGGCTTTGGGTGCCTCACTCGCAAGCTAGAGAGTGGCAAGTGGCGAGAGAGTCACAGAGAAGAAAGAGACATTAGGAAACCCTGAGGTTATAGTGAAGCCAGTTATCAATGTCAGGAATGAACAACTGGGAGTGAAAAGAAAAGCCTTGAGCAGGAGGAAAAGAGCCCGGTATTCGTCGTCCTAACCGCAGTCCTGAGCAGGAAAAGGCAGCCACCTCCCGCAGCACCGCTCCTCCGCCTTGAGGTCTGCCACTTGGCGTCCCCTCCCCAGGGGTCTCTTCATCCCGGGGCGGCCCCCGCCTTAGGGCCTTCTTTCTCACAGCTGCCTGCCTTCCCCCACCCCTACCCCCGCGCCCGCCTCAGTACT